TTAGAACTGGGTCCCAGATTAGCGACCAAAGTTGGTCACTATTTCAGTAAGCGACCAACTTTGGTCGCTAATTTTGAATTATATTTATTTATATTTTATAAATTTTTTTAAATAAAAATATAATTATTAAAATGTCGCGACCCGGATTTTCCACCCTCGGGAGTCGTGATGGCGCCTACTAATGAGAGCTAGGCAAGCCAAATTTAATTACTTGTCGATTAATAATCTAATCCATTTAACAATTTACGGCAATAATACAAAAACAACTAAATTCAATAATAAGCGGAAGTCTTAACATTTTATAAAACTGAATAAAAATGCGGAAAAGTTCAACAAAATCCTCTACCCAAGACTGGTGTCACTGTACTCACGAACTGCTAAGAATACTACATACAAACGTCTGAAAGAGAATATAAGCTGTTTGTCTCGATTACAATGAGATAACGGATAAAAATAAAGGATAGAGGAGACGCCGGGCCTGCGGACGCCTGCAAGGCTACCTCGGGTCTCGCTGAACTGAAGCCTGCTCTCATACTACGGCTGCTGCTGCTCGATACCTAGACCTGTGCAAAATAGCACAGAGTGTAGTATCAACACAACCGACCCCATGTGCTGGTAAGTGTCTAGCCTAACCCCGGCGAAGTAGTGACAAGGCTAGACTAGACCACCACATAAACGTGTGCAGTTATATACATACAGCGGAATCGAAATACAAGACAAGTAAACAATATGGGAGGGGAAGCATGCTGTGGGGAGATAACAGTATTAACAATAAATCCAGAGTAACAGTCTAAAGGCAGCTTAGAATTTACAGCGGACAAGAGACTAATATCCAAAATAAACACACTTGTATCAATAATTGTTGCGGCGCGCAACCCGATCCCAACATATATAACAAAACCATTGCGGCGTGCAACCCGATCCATATCGTTTAGCATTGTTGCGGCGTGCAACCCGATCCACAAATATCATTGTTGCCGCGTGCAACCCGATCCATATCATTTAGCATTGTTGCGGCGCGCAAACCAATCCACAATTATCATTCAATGCACGGCATCACCCTTCGTGCTTTAACACTCTTCCTCACCCAATCAACAAATCACAAACAAGGGCAAGGGAATAATAAAAGAAGAGTGGAAGTCCCGGCAAGGGTACACAAACAACCAAATAAAAATCCGGCAAGGGTACAACATCAATAACCAACAACGTCCAGGCAAGGGAATAAATCATTAACTCTTCTCTTTCTTTCACTTTCATCTCAAAGTTCACATTATCACTTGAGCCAATGCTCCAAGGAGTTTCTTATCTCATACACCCTCACAATTCGTATTTCAGCCCGAGCCAATGCTCCATGAAGTTCAAAGATCACAATCTCTTTCACAAGATCTTTACAACATGTAGAAGTCATCATTTAAGCATGGAAGGCATAACAACAACCAAACTATTTGCAAAACAAGGACTCACGGTCATGCTAGACACCAATGTATAGATACTCGTCACCATGTCTATACATCGTACTCGACAATTAGCAAGTTACAAATAAGACTCAACTCCTATTCCCTCAAGCTAGGGTTAAACCAAACACTTACCTCGATGCCTTGAACTCAACTCAAGCCTCAACTATGGCTTTACCCCGTGATTCCACCTCCAATCCGCTCGAATCTAGTCACAAATTACTTAATTGCTTTAATAAACACTAAATGAATCAATTTGAATGCATAAAAATGAATTTTTCAAAGTTTTTCCCAAAAATTCCAAAATCGCCCCCGGGCCCACGTGGTCAAAATCCAAGGTTCGAACCAAAACCCGGTTACCCATTCCCCCGCGAACTCAAATATGTAAATTGTTTTGAAATCGGACCTCAAATTGAAGTCCAAATCCCCATTTTTTAGAAAACCTAGGTTCTACCCAAAAACCCCCAATTTCACCCATGAAAATCTTTGATTTTTAGTGGAAAACATGTTAAATGATGTTAATGATTGAAAGAATTAAGTAAAAATTGACTTACAAATGATTTAGGATGAAACTTGTTCTTCAGAAATCGCCTAAGGAGTTGTATTTTTAAAGTGGGGTGAAAAATGGCCTAAAATTCGACTAAGTATGGAAAAATGCAGGCTGCAGATATAGGAATTGCGAACTGACCAAATATGGGAAATGCGAACCAGGGTTCGCATTTGCGAACCCTCATGAAAAGCCCAGGTTTCGCATTTGCGAACAAAAAGTCGCATTTGCGACATGGCCCCTCTCGCATTTGCGGACCCAGTGGTCGCATTTGCGACCCAGTGCAGGTTTCCCCCTTTCTCGCATTTGCGATCAAGGGCTCGCATTTGCGAGAACTTCTTTGCAAATGTGAAGATACCAGAACTGAAGATACCAGATTTATTTTAAGTTTAAAAATGCACTCCGACACCTGCCCAAAACTCACCCGAGCCCTCGGGGCTCCAAACCAAATATGCACATTACCTCAAAAATATCCTACGGACTTGCTCGCGCGATCAAATCGCCAAAATAACATCATATACATCGAATCAAGCCTCAAAACTCTTGATTTCTTCCAAATTTTCATAAAACATCAATTTTCCATTTTAAATTCGAAACACGTCAAACGACGTCCGTTTTCAACCAAACTTTACAGAAAGCGCTTAAACCATATATAAGACTTGTACTGGGTGCCGGAACCAATATACGAGCCCGATACCATAGTCTTTTAATCAAATTTTATTTTTATTTTCCTTAATCATTTCCAGAAAATAATTTCACACAAAAATTCATTTCTCGGGCTTGGGACCTCGGAATTCGATTCCGGGCATACGCCCAAGTCCCATATTTTCCTACGGACCCACCGGGACCGTCAAATCACGGGTCCGGGTCCGTTTACCAAAAATATTGACCGAAGTCAAATTTATTCATATTAATATCAAAATTTAGCATTTTTCACACAAAATTCATATTTAAGCTTTCCGGCTATGCGCCCGGACTGCACACACAAATCGAGGAAACCCTAAATGAGGTTTTCAAGGCCTCGGAAGTACAAAATGGGTAAGAAAACAGGTGATGACCCTTTGGGTCGTCACATAAAATTTTATAACTGGGTCCCATTTTAGCGACCAAAGATGGTCGCTATCTGATTACCCTTTAATTAACGACCAACTTTGGTCGCTAATTTTAAATTATATTTATTTATATTTTATAATTTTTTTTAAATAATAATAATTTAAATTTTATAAGTGAGTCCCCCTGTAGCGACCAACGTTGGTCGTTAATCTCAGTATACCTTTGACCAAGCAAGTCTGACCAGTGCGGTCAACATTTTGACGAAATTACCGACCAACCTTGGTCGCTAATTTATTTCAAATAATTATTGTATTTTTTTCGCCAATTTAGCGACCAACTTTGGTCGCTTTTCGTGACAGACCAACTTTGGTCGCTAAATTTTGATCGCTTTTTTCCGAAATTCTAATAGTGAGAGTCATGAGTTCTCGGAGAATTTAAAGGCGTTCCAGGACGGGGTACGCTTTTTGAGACTTCTAAAGAAGATGGATATGCCTTTGGTTTGCTTGTTATTTCTTAAATTTTGTAGAAGTTATAATCGTAATATTTTGCTTTTGCTCAATCAGAGTGAGTTCTATTCATGTGATGCAACTTATCGCAACTGGTTAAAGGTTGAGCTAGAGAATGCAGAAATTTCACCAGTTGAACTCTCAGATGAGGAAAAGCAGAATAAAGTTATAGCTGCTAGAGAAACTCTTGATACATCACTCTTGCTTCTACAACGTGAGTGAACGAAACCTATGTGAGAAAAAATTGTTCAGAAGATGTCTAGTCTTGGAAGATATATTGCTTTCTCAATATGATTCGCCTACCCCTTGCCCCGGTTTTTATTTTTCCCACCTCCCCCTCTTGTTGGTTTTCTTCTCAAGTATATGGCCTTATATAATTGAATCGTTGGGCTTCCAGAAAGTTAATGTGCTGAATATGTGTCTTAGGGAAAGAGAATCCCTGGTTAGTTCCAACTGAAGATCACATCTTGGAAAGTGATGAGCCTGTGTTCCTCGAGTTGCATGCTACTGCGATGCTTTGTTCTTCATCTGGTGATTGTTTGGCTCCCGACGCCACCTTGTGCACAACATTAATGAGTGCCTTTACTCTTCAGTCAGTGAGGAAGAAGTATTAAAACGCCAGATAATGGTATGCTAATTTTTTGTCGAGTCAAATGCGGAAGTTGTAATNGATGTTGTACTGGTCCTCAGAGGACATGTTCAATACACGAGCCTCCTCTCTTTCTTGTGGTGTCTAATTTTTTATTATACTTGGACTGCGTCGGTCTATTTCTCTATTCATCAAGATATCTATCAAAGGTGTACAAGGTATGGTAGCCTCCCTGCCAAGATATTAGTGCCAAAAAAAGGTGTAGTCAGAATGAGCATTCTAGCTAGCAAATGTACCTAAACATGAGTAAGTACATTAGTCTGCGGCAATGGTCTATTGGTACAATGGGTTATATAAAACATGGAAGTTCATGCACCGACATTTAGAAAGCAGAAGGTTAACTAAAATAAGAGTTATTAGTTACTAGTCAGTACACATGCTCATCCAGCCATAGGGCTCGTAACCTCTGTAATGGGTCTCTAGCCTCATTAGGTTTTTCTGTCTGAAACAAATTACTAAAATCAACTCTACATTAAACAGGATTCAATGCAAAAGGTTATGATTTAGGAGGACTTCGACCTTCTATATAAACGTATTAATGTTGGAGATTTCTATGATGTTCGTGCAGGTGAGCGTCTCCATATCATCCACACACAACTATTGTCTTTTGAATTGAAAATTTAAAAATACAGTTTTACCACTCGATTGATTGCAAAGTTAAAAATCATGTAGAGAACCCAAAAGAAAACAGGGCAGAAATTAAAAGAAGAGAACAAGGACTGGGAAAAATCAGAAAAGAACCTACAACAATCACTGAACTTCAGAATCAAAACTAACAATGATGAATAGAACCTAGAAGAAACCCAAAATGGAAAAAGAACGAAGGAAAAAGTAGAAAAAGATAAGTACAAAATTGATTGAAAGCATACCTGCAACTAGATTTGTGAGTGAGGAGATTCCGGAAGAGGATGTGAGGATCACTCTCAAAATTAAATAACTTAATTATGTTGTCCGCTAAAAATACATGTGGAGTCATTTATAACTTACGCGTAAGTTTGTATAGACAAACCTAGACACGTACTATGTGATATTGTAAGAATTGAGGCGCAATTACTAATATACCTGCGAGCTTTTTAAAAATGACATGAAACACACATGTCGAAACTCTTTCTCTTCTATATAATAGAAACTAGACCGGATGGCCCGTGTCAACACGGGCCCGATATTGTAAAAGTTGAAACAATAATTTTTTATCAACCTTATTTTAATATTGTCACGACCCGGATTTCCCACCCTCGGGAGTCGTGATGGCGCCTACTCGTAGAAGCTAGGCAAGCCAAACTTAATTACCTTTTTCATTAACACATTACCTCTTTTAACAAATACCAGCAATCGCATGCAAACGATGGAATTTAATAATTAAGCGGAAGTCTTAAATTAAAGAAACTGAATAAAAATGCGGAAATACAACATAAGCCTCTACCCAAGAACTGGTGTCACAGTGTCAAAGACTATCTAAGATTTACTACATACAAGGTCTGAAGAAAAATACAATAAACTGTTTCTGAACAAAAGATAATGAAACAGTGAATGAATATAGAGGGAGACGCCAGGGCCCGCGAACGCCTGCAGGTCTACCTTGGGTCCCCGGGTGGACTCAAGGAAGCCCTCCAACTACTGATGCTGTCCAATACCTGGATCTGTACAAAAGAGCACAGAGTGTAGTGTCAACACAACCGACCCCATGTGCTGGTAAGTGCCTAGCCTAACCTCGGCGAAGTAGTGACGAGGCTAGGACCGGACTACCAATTAAACCTGTGCAGTTATATAATATACAGCGAAAAGTAAAGCAGGAATAAACAAATAAAGATGGGAGGGGGAAACATGCTGCGGGGGTATACCAGTATTAACAGTAAATCCAGAGTAACAGTCTAAGGGCAGCTTAGAATTTACAGCGAACAAAAGAAACTAATATCCAAAATAAACACACTTGTATCAATAATTGTTGCGGCGTGCAACCCGATCCCAATATATAACAACACTGTTGCGGCGTGCAACCCGATCCATATCATTTAGCATTGTTGTGGCGTTCAACCCGATCCACAAATATCATTGTTGCGGCGTGCAACCCGCTCCACATATAATATTGTTGCGGCGTGCAACCCGGCCCACATATAATATTGTTGCGGTGTGCAACCCGACCCACATATAATATTGTTGCGGCGTGCAACCCGACCCACATATAGTATTGTTGCGGCGTGCAGCCCGACCCACATATAATATTAACAACAACCATAACAAGAGTCCCGACAAGGGATCAATAAGGTCTACACTATCCCGGCAATGAATTCGACAGCATGGGTAATTACGTCCCGGCAAGGGAGAAACAGCTATAACCAAACTTGTTACAACACCTAACTACCTCAACTATAACCAAACTTGTTACAAAACCTAACTACCTTAACTATAACCAAACATGTTACAACACCTAACTACCTCAACTATAACCAAACTTGTTACAACACCTAATCACCTCAGCTATAACCATAATACTTACCCAACACAAAGAATCATCAACCTAAACATCTGTATCAATTAAGAACACAATGCAAGGGAACCACAACTCAACAATAGCCCGGCAAAGGGGCAACATAATGATGTCTTCTCTTTCTCACTTTTACTTCACAATTCACTTCACAACTCGACCCAATGCTCCTCGAAGTTCATAGATCACAATTTCTTTCACATGCTCTTTATATCATATAGAAGTCATCAATTAAGCATGGGAGATACAACGAAATCAAACTATTTGCAAAACAAGGACTCACGGTCATGCTAGACACCAATGTATAGATACTCGTCACCATGTCTATACATCGCACTCGACATTTAGCAAGTACCAAATAAGACTCAACACCTATTCCCTCAAGCTAAGGTTAGACCAAACACTTACCTCAAACTTCCACGGCCAAGTCAATCCACAACAACCGCTGTCCCTCTCGAATTCGGCTCCAAATCAATCAAATCTATACAATAATGACTTCATAACATCAATATAGGCTAAATAAATCAAACCCAATGCCTAATTATAGCTTTTCCATCATTCTTCCCAAAATCCCGAAAATCGACCCCGGGCCCGCTTGGTCAAAATACGAGGTTCGGACCAAATTCATATCACTCATTC